GAAAAATTCCTCTGACTGCCAAATTGGACTCGGCCACGGCCTCGTCCAATTTTTGACAGTCCTCGGAATTTTCCTCGTCCAATTATTTCTTAATTGGACAGCATGGAGTCCTATTACATATAAAAATCAACAGCGAGATTAGGAAAAAAATGCAACGGCAAAAAAATAAAACGCGCAAAGCAAAAATAAAACAACAACAACAACAACAACAACAACAACAACAACAACAATGGCAAACAAACGAAAAAAACCTAACCCTATAAAACAAACACCCCTATTGAATATCGTTATAATGGTACTTACTCGTTTCGATTTTCTGAATCTATAAATAAAAAAAGACAGATTAATGTATAATTTGTATTACCTCAGCTATGGTACGCAGTTTATCAAATAATCTAACAAAATCTAGAATTTAGAACTTTGATGGCAATTAAAGTATACTGATAGCATGCTGAAAGAGTCTGGAAAGACTGCAGCGAACGCCCAGCATGGACGGTGGATTTGACGGACTATAATAACACAATAGATATTGAGCTATCGAACCTCGTGTTTTGAAACAGCTGTAAACAAAAGGTGACAATATCGTACACCAAATAACACGTCAAAGAAAATTCTTAATATCAAAGCGGCGTTATTTTACCAATTTTTGCTTCCGAGCAGCATGTATACGTGGTGCAATAATGTGCAATTTGCAAATTGAAAAGAGTAAAAGGTTACCTTTCGTGTATAGTTTTCTTCGTTTCCAGAATATTATCGCGACAATAAGTCCAGCAATGGCAAGTATGGCTGCTATGACAACACCAGCGATGATACCAGGATGCACATCGTTAGTAGGACTGGGTGTTGGCTTGGTTACAGGCGGCTGACAGGAGACATCTGAAAATCATGATAAACAAACATTGCCATATAGCTGAGCAGCATGTTTTTGCCAACTATTGATTGTCTTTGCTTATCACATTTAAACAGATCAGTAACTAAGGGTTTATGAATCTATCGAACAGTAACTCATTCCAAAGATTGTTCTGTCCATCAATAACTGAGTTGAGTAAATCATTTAGCGAGACCTTCATTCATTATATTATTCGATTACTCTATGGCACAGAATCCGGAGCGTTCCTGGATTCCTGATTTCAAGAATGCTTGATTCAGAATGTAAAACATCCTTACTCTATTGCTGCGGCTTCCTAATTCCAAGTTTCTGCATTCCGGATTCAGGGCCAAAATCTTATCGGAATTCGGATTCTGTACCATTGGCCGGAATCGAACAATATGGCATTCTTAATCATTTATTCAACCGGTCATAAAATTTACAATCAGTACAACACATTGACTAACGTAACAACCAAGCAAAACTTACTTTTTTTAACCAATCGCAAAACATACGAAGCAGAACCCACCAAGTTCCTCGCAACACATGTATAGTTCCCAAATTCCTTATCCTCTTTCATCTTCAAGTCAGCAGAAGGGTCGACTTTTTGTCCTGATGGGCCAGACCATGTAACGTTGGGCTTTGGATTGCCGACTGGTACACATTTCAGTCGTACTTTATCTCCAATACAATATGATTTTTGCTCAAAATGTTTCCCTATTTCTGGAGCGTCTGCAATATAAACAAAAAAATGCCATGGATTAAAATCAAGTGAAAAAAAGGAATTGATGAAAAATAAAATAGAATAAAAATTATGTCAGGTAAATTAGTAACATGAGTGATAATCATAGAACTGCTAAGTAAAAATACATCAATTATCAATTAGTTTACTTTATCGCTCAAATAAAGACAAAGAATCTTTCAACCCGCCCCATCAAAAAAAGCTGCGAGGTGCACTGCGGTCAGTGCGGTTTTGTCCAAGACACTTTTTGTACGTTTAGGAAATTTAAACAGGACCTGGAAACCTTCAAAATTTAGCTTGGTGAGTGCCTTTTGTGTGTGCACTTTTTCATAGCTATGAAACGTGTGATTTGACAAATAAAAAGTCATACAGTTCGTCTAGGCGCAAATCTTTGTGCCTGTGACAGACTCTATTATACAGTGCATACACTGTGAAATGACACCAGTTTAGAAGCAAGTGTGTGAAAAATACCCTAGCTAGCGCGAGCGGAGCACCAAAGCTAAGAAAAAGTGGTGCATCCATCGAGTCCATTTTTCATGGACCGACACAGGGTTCCCGCGCGTACGCACGTTTCCTCCCTTCCTTCCATCATCCTTCCTTCCTTTCTTCCGGGCGTCCGTATACCACCACAGGAAACCCATACTTCTCGAGAAAGAAAAAAAAATTGCCAAAACTCTTTGTTGAAACATTGAAATTTTTTCCTCAAACATTTATCTGACAAATTGATAATATTAGAAAAATTAATCACAAGCAAAAAATACATTGGGGAGCGAAATCAAAACACAGAAATATTCCCGACAATTTTGTCATAACTAAAGCCTGTGCACATCCGGGAAATCGATTTGCGAAAGATTAAAAAGAAATTTATTTTCAAGCGTTTTAGGACCACTTTTAGTATTAAGATAAACAAGGAAAACAGAATGACTTTGTGCTTTGATATTTCAACTTAACAAGAAAAAGATGATACTGTATTGGAAATACATATACTTATAATAATAACTTCCTCCAGCGGAACAAAATCGACCGTGGTCAATAAATTCAGAGTGCGAAATTACTCTAAAAATGTTTAGAATAAAACACTCCTTCAGCTCATCTCTACATCACATCTCTATCTTTGAAATAGTAGCATTAGATAATAATTTTCTTCTATATTGCTATTGGAGCTCCGCTATCCAGGAGTTACCTAATTTTTATATTAGTGCTCAAGGTTAGCAAAGCATCTTTTATTCACAAAAAATAGCAAAAATACAAGGTATATTTAGGTTTACAAAAATATTGGACGCTATCCTAGTATTATTTTTTTTTTTTCTTTCTTTTTTGATATATATAACAAGTGCATTATCTATTTATTATAAAAAAAATATTATAATAATATGAGCAATATTAACGTTTACATTACTCGTGGCTATTAATTCCAAATTGTACAAGTGGTCGTGCGATTTCCTATACTAATACGTGAAAAAATCACAGCTAAAAACAGTTCATTCATTATATCCGTAAACACTTTGGCATAATTCTACCAAGGCCGAGAAATGCAAGATAGAAAAAAAATCAACTTGTCTCAAAACACTGTCGCTGTTCTAGCTTAGCTTAAGTTTTCCTCGTTTTCCATGGCCAGTTTTTTGTTTTGCGACAAGTTGCCAGTGCTCAGGTCAAGGTCGAAAACGATAAACATAATCGATAAACTTGATCAGCAAGACAAGTTGAGTTTTTTGTATCTATTTTTCGGCCTCAAACGATTTCACAGATATGGTGAACGTACTCTTTTACTAAAATATACACGAAATAAAATCTCTAACAATCAGCATTTATAAAAATCTAATNAGAACAATGAGAATAAATAAATAGTTTTGAACACAAGTAACGCAGGCTCAAGTTTACAGGAAAGTGAGTGAGTGAGTGAGTGAGTGAGTGAGTGAGTGAGTGAGTGAGTGAGTGAGTGAGTGAGTGACAGATTCGTCCCCCTCCAATAACTCTTCGATTGCTTCGCAATCTTCGAGTTAAAAAGGACAATAATAAGTAAATTTATTCGGTGTAAATATATTATGCCGTTCGGTTACCTTCTTTTTCTTGGATTTATCAACAGCAGCGTAGTTGGGGATCTCGTTCTTTTTCTTGGTTTTCTTGGTCATGTCTACAGCTGCGTAGGTTGGTACGCTGTCATCATTAAGAGTGACAGCTGCTGCTCCTCTACCAATTGAATCACTAGAATCAACATCATTATGGTAAGCAGCACTGTAAATGAAACAATATACGATAATCAAGTAACTTTATTTTACTTGCACTTTTGAAAAAAAAAATTAATATTAAATAAATCGCGGAAACGTTTTTAAAAGTAAATGATTTGTTCCAAAGCATCTTGATTTTAATTCAATTTTATAATGAAACTTTGGCATAATGTTGCTATTATTCAGATTCAACATAGTGTTGAAGTATTAAGAGTTGCTCATGTTTTAGCGAAATTACACGAAACGTACTCGGAATTTGATAGAGTGCAAAAGTCAGAAAACGTCAAATTCATCCTTCTAAACTGAAGAGCTATAGGGAGATTCTTGTGACTGAATTACGATCTTTAAAAAAGTTTTCCTTCAAAAAGTCTGCATGTTATGGAATATTTGCTCGCTTTTCATAAGCTAGAAATTCGAAAAAACTCCTTTTATCGTTACTATGGGAACTCTGACAATCATACAATTACTACCATCCAATACTAACAACTGGTGCAAAACTCAGATTGATTGAGGTATATACGTTTATCTAACTGTGGATTTTAAAACGAAAGTATATAAAAAAAACAATACTGGGAGAAACATATATTGTGATCCTTAAAAAAAATAGTTACCTTTGCTGATTTGATTCCCTTTTTTTGCCTAATAAACAAGACGTAGTAATTAAGTTTGGACAGGAGCCCATTACTAGGAGCCTTCCTCTTCCCATGGGCTTGTGGAACGGCATATATTTACCCCTCTTGGTGCTATTTTTAGATTTTCCCGCCATTCCCCGCGCGCTTATTGAGATGCCGAGTTGTGAAGAGCCGCCGGCCGCCGCTATCAGGTGTTTTTAGATGRAATTTTAAGTYGTACAAGTGAAGAAATTTTCGCTTTTACAAAAACTATTTTGTAAWARAGGTTCAATGGCAYCATTAACTATTATATTTAAATGTCTAAAGATAGTGAAAAGGTATAAAAAATAAGCGAAAAAGCTCATACATGAAAGAATCGAMATTTCTGGTTTSTTTTACYKACGAATCTGATCAAAAAGCATGACAGTGAACACAAAATAATCTATTCTTATAATGAGTTCTTCATYTAAAAAATGTGACATCACAAATGTAAAAATTAGCATTTAATAAATTTGTTTGTGACAGTTTTGTACAATATTTTGCATCTAAACAAAAACTCTTCACAAATGAAGTTACCTTAAGCTTTACGGAATTTCGGCGCCTTTTTTCTTGAACAGCCGATAAACAGTCCTCTAAAATGTTGTTGTTTTATGGTCATATAAATTAGTCAACCCAAAAAGAGTTCCATTCAATGTCCATTTGCATGTAAAAATTTGCAAGCTTACTTGCTTCAGTCATGTTCAGTTTGCTCAAGTTTGCAAGTTGAAAATTTTCCGCTTTTGTACAATTTGAACCTTCGTTCCTCGTCTTCAACAGCCATTTGATTTCAAATTCTGGTTATCAGTTAAAGATCCAGAGTGTGATTTGAGTCAATTTTTGTTGCTTTTGATGTCCAATGAATTTTGTTGGTCTTCGGCTGCTCAATGAAAAGTTCATAATTGTTGGTTGTTGTTTTTTCTCCAGATTTCCCCCTGTATTCCCAAGAGTAATTACACCTGTTTTCTATCACTGGCTTCCTCATCGGCTAAATATGAAGCGAAAGGTGATTCTGCTTTCCTTTTTTGGGACATATTTCTACTAAAAGTTAACTTAAACATCCTGAAAATGAATTTTGAAAAAGTCTAGTACTAAGATCTTCCTCGCCGGCGGTCGACCGGCGGCCGTCGCATAGGCTACCCAACTATTGCTTGAGAGAAAGAAAAGAATGAATGCGCACGCTTTTACGCTAGTATCGCTAAGAATACTAGTATCGGCGCTCGCTCTTAGTGAAATGCGGATTACCTGTGGCATTACGTCACGTCCCGTGCCTCGCGGGATACAAACAAGTCTGTGTGTCACAGACTAGTTTGTATCCCGCGAGGCGCGGGATCGTGACGTAAAGTAACCCGCAGCGCGCGCCGTTTCGAAAACATACCCGCGAGGCAAGGGATCAATGACGTAATACCACAGGAAACCCGCAGCGCGATGCGATTCGAKAACATAAWATAAAAGCGTGCGYATTCRTTCTTTTCTTTCTCTCAAGCAATAGTTGGGTAGCCTATGGCCGTCGGTCATTCAGAACCTATTGTTCAAGTCGCTTTCTGATTGGCTGTTTTGCGCTGAATTTATAATGAGCAATTCTAAAAATAGCACCAAGAGGGGTAAATGCCGTTCCAAGAGCTTATGAAGAAGAGGAAGGCTCCTAGTAATGGGCTCCTGGTTTGGATGACAAAGTGATGTACGTGTGGATGGACAGACAGACAATCATGGAAGAGAGGGAGGACGACGAACGGTTGACCATACATTGTCACTTACCAGATTTACCAAATGCGTTCTTTTTTCTCAGGATAACAATCGATATCACTGCAGTAACCGCTATTAAAACCACAGCAACGACAGCACCCGCAATTATGATAGGCTGATTGGGGTCACTTTCACCACCTGAACTCTTTCCTTTTGATGGTGCTAAAGACAAAAGCATACTCTACGTTACATTGAATAGCAACAGACAGTTGGACTTTATTTTGTAATGTTTGTCAGTTTATCTATTCTTTATTTTTTCAATATAATAACCAATTTTTACATCACATACTAACAAAACCAGAATGCATTGCATTACCTTTTTATGTAACTAATATCAATTCTGAATTTGTATTTAACATTTCCAAATGATAAGAATTTGAATAAGAATGCGCTAATTTTTGTGACCCTATGACTAAATTGTGGACCAGATCAACCGGATTCCAGTAATCACATGTAATCAACATATAAGCATATTTGGTATATGCGTGCGTATACAGTATAAAAAGAAGGATGTTATATAAAAATATAGATTACATACCTGTGGACTTGCCAATAACACTTGTTGTGGGAGCAATAGTGGTTTCAACAGGTAATGTCACGGTTATCGCATTTTCACCCTTTAAGCTGGGTCCATCTTTATTTTTTGCAGTCACATGAAAACTGTACGTCTTGCCTGGAAGGAGATCTTTAACCGTATATGTGAGTGGTTCACCTGAAAGTGTGCCAACCTGTGACCATTCATTTTCACCAGTAAGTTTCTTGTAGACTGTGTAGTGTTGTATTTCACCTCCATTCTCTTCTGGTTTTGACCAGCTCAATGTCACTGTTGTTGGACTTACTTTAACTGTTTTTAAAACAGGTGAAGCTGGGGGTCCTAAAAAACAGACAGATCATCAACCAGATAGATCATCAAAATAAACATAACAATCGATTGAGATATCATTTCCAGCTAACATTCAAAGAGAAAATTTGTATCTCCAAGGATACACATGCAATATTCTCTATTTGTAATTCAAAACAATATATTGAGTGAGAAAGAGCCGATTTTGAAAATGATGTCCACTTTAAAAGACATTTTCAATGTTTAGAATTTCTTGGTACGCAGGCATAATTTCTAAAAATAAATGAGTCCTCTGCGTTTACTAGTGATATTTTTAATACCGAGCTTTCGGCCTAAGCGGCCATTATCAAGGTAAACGCAGAGGACTCATTTATTTTTAGATTTTCAATGTTATTTACTTTCCAGAATGACAGGTGTGTTTCAGTGGAGAAATGAATGACAATTTTGGGATATACAGATTGCTCTCGCATACACAAACTGAACCGAGTGCATCAAGTGACAATTGGAACACTGGAAATGCCTTTTTAGGTAGACAACAAACTTTTGAAGATCGATAGTATAGCAAACAATTCTTGGCAACGTCTTAGAGTGGACAAACATATTTTGTGAAACACATTGTACCAATTACTACTAAA